AAGAATTATACCAGCAATCCTTCTTGATATATGTCTCATTAATCAGATTAAAGACAATGCAAGCATTATTCTTTGTATTCATAAAAGTTACAGAGTTAACAACGTTATGCAGCTCATTCCTCAGTTCCATTCTACAGTTGCAAAGGCAATATTAGGAGATTTGTGTAGCTCTCAAAAAAGTCCATTGTTGAAAGTTACTGTTATGCTGCCAGGTTCCAGTGCAGCAGGCTGGTGTAACATTGTGGATCTTTAGCAAGAGAGTTCCCTTATGCCCAGGAGCTGTGATCCTTCTCTCAAAGACCCTCCTCGCTGAGGGCATTACCACAGCAACTAGGCATCCTGCAACTTTGCACAGAAACTTTCCCAGCCCAAGCATGCCACAGCCATGAAGTCATCAGAGACCCCAATCTCAGACACTGCTCCCCCGTTCTCTATCACCACTCTCCACAACTCTCCACTGCTTCTACCCTTTCCAGAGCCCTTGCTTCGCCTCACTCTATCTCACCCACACACTGCCACTCCCGCACACTACTACTTTACTGCATGGGACTGACAAGATTGCCTTCCTTAAAGTACCTACATGTGGCATGTGGTGAGGAAGTGGGTCCTTTGCAAGTGGCAGCAGAGATGGAAGGAGGAAGGGTAAAGAAAAACACCGACATCCCATGCACTCAGATGTCTGTAGACAGTGCTCTTTCCACAGGATCCCAGCTGATGGAGGTGCAAACACACCTGCCGACAATGTGGTGACAGATGTGAGGGGGCCTGAGCCAGCCAGCTTCCAGCACTACAGCAAGTACCTGAGACATCCACCTGCACAGAGGAGAGGTTTTCTGTGGCCCTGGAGTGGTTGGCCCAGTGCTCTCGGGGCTGAGGCAGAAGGTGCCGTGACAGAGCAGAGGCAGAACACACTGCTCAGCTCAGGGGTGGGAGACATGAAGGGAGGCTGAGGAGCTTGGTTCCCACCACCTCCTTCAAGGGCACTCCCCCAGATACTGAAGAACCTCCCACTGCACCCCACTTCCTAAGACTTCCACCAGCTCCCAATACCACCTACCTCCAACACATGGATCTTTATGGGCATTCTAGACCCAAACCACAGCGCTCTGTGCCTGGTCCCCACAGGCTCATGTCCATGCCCCACACTCTCAATGCCTTCATGGGGTCAAAGAGGTAAAGTGCAATTGTGAGCTGTGTGAACATGTGAAAACCTATGAGTGTTCAGGTTACATATAGGTTGGGGACCCACGTTTGCAATGTGTTAATCTAAATATGCAGGAAGGTTAGGGGTAGTAACCTACCTGTCCAGAGAAGATCACTAATTTCTAAATGGCGGCATGTAGTGAACGGTTGCATTTGTATACTGGGAAAAATGAAGGATTAATTTACACCCACATTTTCGGTTTCTTCATTGGTTACTAAAGCAAGCTGGCTTGTGCTGAGATATCCAGGAGAGAGTGAATGTGCAGGCTGCTGATAAGCACTCAGTGCCCTTGAGTTTTTGGGAGTCACAAGGATAAAATCTTATTCTAAAGCAATTGTAGATCCTGCCTGTCAACCACCTGATGCCAGCGAGATCACTTTTGAGAGACACTAATAAATGGTCACTTCTCTATGGAAATTGATTTCTCTGATTTTTATTCCTACTAGGCAGGAGGGAGATCCATAGGTAGAAACAATCTTTGTTAGAAAGCTAGCAGCTCACCAACTTCCAAACGTCAGTAAGGAGCTGTGCAAAACCCAGTGGGTCTCTGCAGTACATGATTCTCCTCATCTTCATCATCTTACTTACGCCTTGACAACCTTCCCAGGTGACTGGCCTGGTTTCTCTGCTCTTATTAAATGATGTAACATTTCAGTGTCCTGAAGATTAGGAAAGAACCCCTGCTCAAGTAGAAGACGTCTCACAGGAGGAAAAAATCCAGGGAGGCCCAGGAACTAGGTGCCAGTCCCTCCAGTGACAGACCCTGGTGTTTGCTGCTCTCAGCACGTGAGCCCTATCTCCTCAGGGATGAAGGAAATTAAAGAACTTCCCACACTCTGCAGCCGGCTCTTTGGAAGTGACAACTGTGAACTCTGGGGCATTGGCAACTGGGAAAAGGTTTTCACAAACATCCTCAGGCCCAGGAGCCTGTCCTGTCATGGAAGCTAGAGTTAAAAAGGTCTCTGCACTTCTGAGGGGAGGGGGCACTCACACCAAAACCCACAGGCCAGGTTCTGGCTGCCTCTCTCCAGACACAGGAGTCCTGGCTGCTGTGATCGTCCCACTGCACCCAAGTGCAGGAGCCCAGAGCACCCAGGTGAGCACTGTTGTCTCATCAGAGAGGAAGAACTGGAGCCAGGAGATGGATCAGGAGTCTAGGTAAGTGACCATGTGGGCACCGTGGTGTCTAGTGGGTTTCACTTGGGTCCAGCACCAAAGCCACACAGGCATGAGGAGGAATCCCTGAGGAGGACCTGAGCTGTCAGGAGACGTGGGTCAGAGACCCTGGACCAGCACCTGGTGGCTCCTGGTGTAGCTCACTGTGTTCTGCAGTGACAGGGCTGTACAGGTTCAGCCAAGTAGGAATCACAGGCCAAGGTTAATGTGCCTGAGGACTTAGTTCCAGCCAAAATTGATGGGCAGTCTGCCCTGCAGGGACACGACTTGAACATTCTGGGTGACCTCAGGGGCCCCTAACACCTCCGTGCTCACATGACACAAGGAATCTCCAGGAAGCCTCTCATCTCATGCAGAATCTACCTCCAGGGACAACAAGCAAGCAGAATGCTTCCCTGGATCTGGGGTCTTCAAGGGCTTCAGGGACACAGGGATCTTTTCCTACCGAAATTGTTTACCTTCAGTTGATTTGGGTGAGACTATTTCCCACCTCCCATCAGGGGAGCCGACTTGAAGGAAAAGGTAGGATTATAGGAATGGGTTTCATGTGGCATACTGGGGGGGAATGTATTTCGGATATGTTTCCTCACTTCAAAACATAAATTGCTTCCTCTTATATGTACAAAATTACATATAAGAGGAAGTGAGGGGAAAGTGGGACAAAAAACAAGGGGGAGAAATGAATTACAGTAGAGGGGGTAGAGAGAGAAGATGGGAGGGGAGGAGAGGGGAGGGGGGATAGTAGAGGATAGGAAAGGCAGCAGAATACAACAGATACTAGTATGGCAGTATGTAAAACAGTGGACGCGTAACCGATGTGATTCTGCAATCTGTATACGGGGTAAAAATGGGAGTTCATAACCTACTTGAATCAAATGTATGAGATATGATATGTCAAGAACTATGTAATGTTTTGAACAACTAATAATAAAAATTAAAAAAAAATTGGCTAAAAAAAAAACAAAACAAAACAAAAAAAAAACATAAATTGCCTTTTTCCACTTATTAATCTTTAACTTTTGATCGTAGCCATTCTAACTTGTGTGATATGATTCACATTCTGCTTTTGACTTTATTTCCTGGTCAGGTAATGATGTTAATTAAGTATTTGGTAGATATTAATCTGTTTGCCATTTGAATTTCTACCATTGAGAAGTGTATCTCTCTAAGATCTGCCCATTTCTAATTTGCATTATTTGGATTTGTTCTTATTGAATATGTTGAGTCTCCTATACATTGTGGGTATTAATCCTTTGTCCAAAGAAGTACCTGCAAAAACAAAAAAAAGAATAAAATTTGATTTTGTTGGTTGAATCTTTGCTGGAAATCTTGTTTCCCTTGCTGTGCAGGAGCTTTTGGGTAACACATGAGAAATGAGGAGTACCAGTAAGAAACAAGGTTGAGTAACAGTTCTGCAAACACAGATAGACAGAAGTGATTTTCTACAAATCATCGCCCTGTGCACGGTCACCAGGATCATATCACACACTTTAGAATCGCTGGGAAAGAGAATCTCAAACTCTCCACAAACAATGTTAACACTAAGGAGACGGAAATGTTCAGGCCATGAAATAATCAGGAAACATTTTATGCTCATGGAGAATTACCTAGGTGTACCACATAGACAAGGACAGGAAAAATAAAAATAAGAAAAGTAAAGTATTGTCAAGCCTATTCCCACAATTTGAATGTCCAAAATCAACTTCTTATTTACTCGAGTGTCCACGTACAGGAGATGTGTGTCTTATATTTTTAAAAAATCTTGCACAGTAGTTTATGGTTTTACCTCTATGTATTTAAAATAACATTAGTGTATCATGTGAAATTAGTGATATTTGGTTTCTGTACTCTAAGAATTTGAAAGATATTACTATTGCATGTGCCAAGTTTCAGCAGATAATATAGATTCCCATAATAGGTGTCATTTTTGACATTCATCACCCTTTCACTGCAAACAGACATTTGTACTCTTTGAATATACTTGGCATAATTGTGGATCTACATAAGTTTATATTTTGGATGCATTTAAACTTGATTAAAATATCTAAACTTTTACTCAAAAGGGTCATTTTTCCATATAATAAACACTGATGCAGAATTCAAAACTTGGTTTAAGGTAGTTAATAAGAAAACCACTTGTGTCAAATGAAATAAAAATTGTTCAATAGGCCCCTTTTTATTTGAGGAGCCCAGCTAACTAGCTTGGTCAGAGGAACACAGTGTTGAAGGGCACTCCCATGTTCCCTGCACAGCCAGATTCAAAATAGCACACTGACATAGAAAAGGTTTCAATTTGCACATACAAGCCCCCTTCAATTGCTTAAGTGTTGCTGACCTTTACAATGAAAACAACAGGGTCACCAGCTTCATGGAGTATGATGAACACAGGACCTTCTACTTCTGCATTCTTTGTGGTACTGGCCCCTGTTCTAAGAGAATTCTTACAAATTGTAATTTCAACACTGAATACACCTTGTTTGTTTAAAAATTTTAAGTAAATATTCTAGGTGGGACCTTAGTGTAGGATATTGGACTGCAATGGATACGGAGCCGATCCTAATATTTCCATGCAGGAATCTCTGGCTCAGAAGATGAACATCGGTCACTGGGAGCTGACAGGATGGCCACCAGGGATCTGGCAATAGAAATGGTGTTTTTGTCACAGACAGTAGTTGGCGTTCTAGGCAATGTCTCTCTTCTTTATCATTACCTCTTCCTTTACTGCACAACAAGCAGGTACAAGTCCCGGGATGTGATTCTCATGCACCTGAATGTAGCCAACACCTTGGTCCTTGTCTCTAAAGGAATTCCTGAAACATTGGCAGCTTGGGGGTTACGAGAGCTGCACAGTGACATTGGCTGCAAACTTCTTTTCTACCTACACAAACTGGGCAGAGATGTGTCCATTGGCACCACCTGCCTCCTGAGTGTCTTCCAGGCTGTCACCATCAGCCCCAGGGACTCCAGGTGGGCAGAGCTGAAGGTGAGAGTTCCCAGGTACAAGGGCACCTTCCTCACCATCTGCTGGGTTCTGAACATGATGATGAGTATCCCGGTACCTGTACATATGACTGGCAGACAGAGCAGCAGAAATAACACTGACAGAAGGGACTACGGGCACTGTTCTGCTGTCTTTCAGGACAGAGTCCCAGGCAGAGTCTATCTATTGTTGTCGTTAGTCCGGGATGTTTTCTGTGTGGGTCTCATGCTTTGTGCCAGCGGCTCTGTGGTTTTCATCCTCTATAGACACAAACAGCGGATGCAACATGTTCTCAGGAGCAGTGTCTCCCCCAGATCTTCCCCTGAGTCCAGGGCCACGCAAGGCATCCTTGCCCTGGTGGGGGCCTTTGTGTCTCTGTCCACTCTCTCCTCTGTCTTACACATTACCTTAAGTTTTGTAAAGAAATCCATTTTGTGGCTGGTGAACACCTCCACACTCATCGCTGGGTGCTTCCCAACAGTCAGCCCCTACATTATCATGAGCTATGACTCCAGAGTTTGCACGACCCAGTGTGTCCATACTAGGAAAACGACAACCCCTAAGAGTGTAAGAGAAACATAAATTGAATGAATGTTCACAATGGCTATTTGCTTATTCATTCATATCTCTCAGAATAGAAGCACATTTTTTTTGAAACTGTGGTATGACATGAGTCCAAAAGACAGAAATTTGAGTTTCTGCCTCGAAGTAAACTTTGAAAAGTATAGCAATTGTGAGTAGTGTATTGTCATGTTAATATTTATGCTAGTGAGTGTTATTAATATCTGCATTGGGGTGCCCATCTTATGTGCAGTTATAATAATAGAAGATAAGACAATCCATGTTGTGAAGTACTAACTGACAAAGTGTCATTTAAACTGTATTGAAATTTTTTCTGATATTTACTAGCATTAGAATAATAGGAAAAACACCAATAAAAGAGGAAGACAATTCAAGATGGTCATCTTAAAAATGGCCAAAATATAACTTCTTTCCCAGAATAGTGAATAAATACCACTGAGCCCCTATCAGGGAAAGCTCAGTTCCAGAGATTAAAGACAACACAAGGAAATAAGCGTCCTCTACATGGCACATAGAGGGATGATGGTCACTTAAAAGGAGACTGTCATGAAAACCTAAAAAAGAACTAATAGAATACATAAAAATAAACTTCACAAGTGTGCAAACATACACACACAACAAAGAGATCTCAAGGTTTATTTAAAACATTGCCATCTAGTGGCCAGATTAAAGTAAAGTAAATCACAAGAGGCACAAAATCAGGCACCACTGACCTTTACATGACTTTAAGAAAGTGTCCCTCTTACTTGAGGGAGTGGTGTCTGATTGGACCTATCCCTGGAGAAGAGAGATCTCTGAGGAAGGGTTCAAGGAGTCCTGGAGGGGAGGGGGTTCCACCCAGGACCAGCAGTGTTCTTGGCATATGTAATGGAGACTCTCAGGCCCTGCCACACAAAGGGAGAGAAGTTTATTCAGGAAGTGGATGCACTTTCAAGAGAGAAGGTGAGCTATCTTGACAGTGAGAAGCACAATGTCAGCTGTGGTTTCCATGTGAATGAAAGGGCAGCACTGAGGGGCTGCCTGGAGGAGGGGCTGGGGAGCAAGTCTTTCCTGGGCTTCCCCCCATTTTGGAAGGGATCAGCCAAGGGCATATCATTCAGGAGTTGCAATGGTTCATGGGTGTGTTTCTTGCATTTCAATTGTTTGAGGGCACTACCTTGCTAACTCAGTAGCTTTCCATTTATTCCCAAATTCCTGTCTCAGATCTGGGTCAAATATTGGATAAGTTTGTGGGGAAAAACGAAAGGATTCATTAGAACTCATATTTTATATTTTCTTTATTTACAAATGCAACCAAAACTTGCTACTCAAAGGTAACATAGAGGACTGTGGTAACCATGAAGTACTCTTCAACTGAGGAAGTACATCAACTTATCTGATACTGAATGAATTAAAGAAACGGCTTGGTAAACCCTCTGGTCCAAGCATTGCTTTCTGTAAAAAAACATGTTTCTCTCTTTCTGTGATCATTGTCCCACTTGGATTTCCTACCCTGCTGGAAGGGATAAAGATCCACATTCATAAAGGTATTTTGCTGAAAATCTTGCAGATCAACCCAAATGTCCAAATTGATGGGAAGTGAATTCTGGAAAAAAAAAATCAGCGGTTTCTAAGTAAGACCGTCACCAAACCCCTTGCTTTGAAGATAATAAATACAAACACATAATTGTTCTTTAGGTCATTAGCAACTGATAAAAAGGTTTCACAAACATGTTCCATTCCTCAGTCTCGTATTTTCATTAATG